TGAATGATGAACTGCCAGATAACTTTCGTAACAAAGATCTTCTACATTTATTGTTACACTGCGCTCTGAAGTGTGTTATGGTGTTGTGGATTTCTGATAAGAGTTCCATCTATAAACCAGTGGACACAGACTGTAATAAGTATTATTATTTTTGGACTATTTGGTTGCGTCTGCAGCTCAGAGAATAAGACTTTGATTTAGCTTGGCAAGAAGAAGACAATTTGTAGTGTTATGTTTGTTTTTTCTGCTTTTGGGGTCCCTTTATTTATTTATTATTATTATTATTATTATATATGTGTATATCCTTCTCTTTTGTATGTAGAGTGTTTAATATTTGATGTTTTCCTGCTTTCCAAAAACTTAAATTAAAATAAATAAATAAATAAAAAAAACTCTGGTCCTCCAGTCGTCCAGTTTCCTCTCATTTTAACAGAAAAATACACAGAAAAAATCTTCTGTCTTACACGTGTCTGTAATTTAAAAGGAAAAAACTGAGTTTTCCCCCTTGAACTAAAAGGTTATCGTCTGAATTCTTTATGAATAGATGCCAAAATCAGCTGTTTTTGGCTTTTTTTCTCAGCCTATAGGTGATTCTGGTTTATATTTTGGAAAATAGTCTCCTTTCTGTGAGGAGTCTCCAGGAGCAGCTAGAACGAGACACAAAAACTAGACTGAAAATGAGAAAAGAAGCGGAAAAAGTGCAGTTTGTTTGGAGGTTAAAGAGAGTCTGGCTGTTTGGAAACTAAATGAACACAGTGGGGGGGGGTACCTGTCTGCTCTGGCTCGCTCTTGTCTTCGTCCTCGATGTCGAACTCGGACTCCCTCTCCTCGTACTCCACGTTCTCGTCCAGCTCCTTAAAGTCTGGAGCAAAGGCGCTCCAGTTTTCCTGAAACACAGAAAACATTCACACATCAGTGAGGGTCCTCAGTCAAGGAAGCTGGAAGTTTTCTAGAAGATCAAAGAAGCTTCTCCAGCTCTAACTGATGGTGGAGCACTGAGATAATATACTGTAGGAGGAACTAAAGAATTAGGGGGAAACCAAAGGGGGCTCTGGTCCCTCCTGCTGGGGGCCATGGAGGTCACCTGGGGGGTTAATGGTGGTTAGCAGCTAAAGGACCAAAAATAAGTAAAAGAAGCAAAACAACCCAAAATAAGCAAGAAATTACAAAAAGAAGTAAAAGAAGCATCCAAACAATGAAAAATAAGTGGAAAAAGCAGCAAAACAACCAAATTTAGGTAAAAGAATCAGCAAAACGGCGAAAAATAAGTGAAAGAAGCAGCAAAACAATGAAGAATAAATGCAAAAGTCAGCAAAACAACCAAAAATAAGTGGAAAAAGCAGAAAAAATGTAGAAAATAAGTGAAAGTAGCAGCAAAACAACCAAACTTCAGTAAAAGAATCAGCAAAACGGTGAAAAATAAGTGAAAGAAGCAGCAAAACAATGAAGAATAAATTAAAAAGTCAGCAAAACAACCAAAAATAAGTGGAAAAAGCAGAAAAATGTAAAAAATAAGTGAAAGAAGCAGCAAAACAATGAAGAATA